TTGGCTGTCTAGGCTGAAATTGTTGTCATGGTCCCTCATCAAAGGCTGCTGGATAATCCAAGGACTCAAAGGGAGCTGCCATGGGGGTCCCAGCAGAGCTGGCAATAGTCCACTGATGAATGAGAGCCATTGCTCTAGGTTGGCTTGTGTGAACAGGATATCAGCACTTGGACATTTCTACTCCTGTTCTACCAATATCCATAGTTCATATGGGCCTTTGTGGCCAGCTGACTGACTGTGGATGGTGGCTGGGAGAGGAACTGAGAGATTTTCAGTTTCCTCTTTAAGGCAGCGTATTCTGGGGGCCCTAAGGCCTCTGTCTTGCAGTGAAGTTGTGTAGCAGAGAGTGGTGTTAAGAAGCCATTTTTTCTCTCCTGGCATCCAATGGCCTTCCTATTGCCCGGATCCAAGGCAACTGAAGTTACTTCCTGTATCAACTTGCTCCAACACTGGGTGACCAGGCAGCTTTCATTCATAGGGAGTGCAGGGTGTGTTAACAGTTGGGTAGGGGAACCTTGTCTACCACCTTCCTCTCCCCTCTAACTCCTTGAGACTTAATGCTCTGCAGGCCTGCAAAAAGGTGGCTGTCATTCAGGATTGCCCTGTTTGTCAGTGGATTTCACTGTAAAGGAGAGGTGAGGTTCCCCTGACTGATCAGTTGGGGGTTTGTGCTGAGGATCTATTGGACTTGTGCTGGGGGCAGAGCCTTTTTGACTCAAATATCCTCCCTAAGTAAGTCTATTGGCTATATAAGACTTTTCTACTCAGGTCAGTTCGTCTTGGGCCCTTCTGCATCCCCTTTCCATTGGCTCTTTCTTGGAGCTGTTTATCTGCCATCCCCTAATCTGCTGCTATCACTCAGCCATTGAATTGGTTTATTTTGATTGCAGCTTTCCATATTTGCTAGGAATGTTAACTAACATGTATTTGTGTAACCTCTGGACTTTTTAGCGGTCGCACGATTACATGTGGAGGTGGGCAGGTGGGAGCTGGTGCTTGTAGGAAGCTGGCTTCTGCCTTCCCCCACCCCTGCCTTTGATAGAGAGGTGGGGCAGTAGTGTGGGATGGGGGGAGGGGAGCAGGTGGATCCACAGGAGCCGATACACATGGAGAGCCAGCTTGAAAGCTGCTTCTCCTGTGCACTGGCTTCCGCTTCCCCCACTTCCACCCACCTAGCAGGGTGGGAGGGCACTCCGCAGGAGCCGCACAAATGGAGAGCTGGCTTGAAATAGGAGCACTGGCTCCCCACTCCCCTGCTGCCTCTGATACAGAGGCAGCAAGGGGATGGCTTGTAGTCGTTAGGCTTAACTGATAAGCCTGGGCTTGTGGGTTAATTATGTAAATGACTACACGCTAACATCCCTCGCATTTGCACCTCTCTGAGGGCTAGTCTGTAAACAATCAAAAGAGGGAAGAAAGGCTGCCTTTCCACCCAGTGGACAGGCCCTGGTATGGCTGTTAGATAAGCATTTATCAACAGATCAATCCCCTGCTCCTTTCTTTGATTTGAGTATCTGGCCTGACCATCTTGCTCACCTCCTGGGAAAAGGGCAGGGCCAGATAGGTGCTTCACGTTGCCTTATCCTAGTGGCCAGTGAACACTTCTTGAGCTTAATTCAAGCTCCAGTCCTACTGGCTTGTCTCGCTGCCGCTGCACAGATATAGCAGTGTTGAGTGAGAGAAACATCCATTTATAGACAGGGCCAGGCATCTATGTAACTCAAAGCAGATTTGCGTTCCACTGGGCACCGGGACTCGTGGGCTTGACAAGCACAGAAGTACTATTGATAAAATACCGAAAAGGCCCAAAGTTGGAGGCAAGGAGCAAATGCCTCGCAGCAGGAGGATGGGAAGTTTCTCATAGCAGCTGGAGCGCCTGCGTTTTTTTTGTTTGTTTGTTTGTTTTTTGTTTTGCGTTCCAAACCCGTGACGTGCTGCATGCCCTGCTGCAGTCGATCTACTGGGACAAACGTCAAAGGAGAACTCCACCCCTCTGCCTGCCTGGGTACAGCTCAGCTGTGTTGGAGTCTTATTTTATCCCACAGGGTCAACTTGTAGCAGCTACTCACCTGTCACACAAGTGTTTACTGCAATGCACCATGGGGAGCCCTTCCCAAAGCGCTGTCCCTTGGCGACACTGCCCTTGCCTGGCATAACTAGAGACTGATATTCTTGATTGGGTAGCAGCTGGCCCTGTCGCTCTAGACATCTGTTATACACGGTCACTGATTGGCTGTTGGCTTGAACAGCTGTCTCTTCTCCCCCCGGCCTGGTTGGCTGGCTTTAATAAACCCTAACAGATCAACTGTGTTCTCTGAACTACAGTGCAACTCGTCTTTTGGCTCTGTTCCTGAAGACCACATCAGCAAGTCCTGCAGGAGAGATCCCTAGAAGTCCAAATGCTGAGACTTTAAGCAAGGCTTTTCTTGTGGTGGTCTCCAATCAGGCTGCATCGTGAAGGAGGCTAAACTTGTTGAGATTCCTCTTTTATCAGGGTTGTTTTCAAGTAGGGGGACTGAAAAGCTCAAGGGATTGGGGCGGGGGGGACTTGCCTTTGCTCAAGGCTGATGGTTCAAATCCAGGCACAGAAAGGAAACCTCAGTTATTGGCTTGTGTGACGTGAGTCTGGGTCTCAGTCCAGCGTGCAGTGGTTCCATGTCTCTCAAATCTCACTACTGCATTTTTGAGAGACCATGAGCTGAATAGGGTGCAGAGAATTAACCCCCCTCTTGCCCCTGAAGGAGGTGTTGACAAAGGAGGACTGGGCGGGGGGGGGGGGGGGAAAGGCCTCCCACCTAGTGCTTTGGAAATGTCTTGTGGGTGGATGATTTTAGTCTCTAGGGCTGCCAATCTAGCATCTTGCCTGACAGTCTAATTAGCAGTTCCCTGTTGATGATGATTTCTTTGCTGTAGTTTTAGGGTTGGTTGGTTTCTTTTGCTTCCACAAGGACAGTAGACTCATCAGTTTCATTCTGTTTAGTCTCTCTGGTTCCCATTGTTAGCCCTGTGCACAGGAATTGTATTGTAAATACAGAAGCCTGGCAAATAGTTGGCTTTTGAGCAAAAACTGCCACCTCTGACTAGGGATGTAAGCGACTAGTTGACTATCGGATAAGCAAAAGCTTATCAGATAGTTGACCAGTCCCTCGACTAGTCGCTTCCCCCTCCCTCCCCTGTTGCCTCTTTTAGTTTAGAAAAGAAGACTGAGAGGCGACATGATAACGGTTTTCAGAGTGTCACAGGGAGGAGCGGGAAAATTGTTCTCCTTGGCCTCTGAGGATAGGACAAGAAGCAACGGGCCTCTGAGGATAGGACAAGAAGCTTAAACTGCAGCAAAGGAGGTTTAGGTTGGATATTGGGGAAAAACTTCCTAACTGTCAGGTGGTAAAACAGTGGAATAAATTGCCTAGGGGGGTTGTGGAATCTCCATCACTGGAGATATTTAAGAGCAGGTTAGACACACCTGTCAGGGATGATAGACAGTGCTTGGTCCTGCTATGAGGGCAGGGACTGGGCTTGATGACCTCTCAAGGTCACTTCCAGCTCTATGGTTCTGTCTGAGACAGCAAGGAGGAAGGGGGAGGAGGAGCTTGTGATGCGGGAGGCAATTCCACCCCAGTGCCGTCTCCCTGGGGGGCAGATGGGTAGCGGGATCTACAGCGAGCCATGAATCAACTGATTCATACATGTAAAAGGCTAGTGTGCAACAGGAGAGAGGGGGAACCCTGTGTGAGCAAGGAATCAGCTGTCCCAGGCTGATGCTGGGTCCCTCCTGCTGCGCTTTTAAATGTATTAAGCGCCAACAGGCTCCCCCGCTTATCGACTAATCAGCTAGTCAACGGAAAATCCATTGACTAGTCGATGAGTTGATTAGATTTAACATCCCTAACTCTGACTTGCATTTTAAAATCGTGGAGACGTTGCATAGGAATTAGAAAAGACCCTTTCATCCTTCTGTTCTCCTTGCCAATCCGTTTGTCCAGTGCTGAACTTGGGAACAAACTTGCCCTGCCTTTATTCCTTCCACGCGATGAGCAGTTTGGGCACGCTGCAATTATCTGCCAGTCTCTCGTATTTCTAGTACGCCCTCACGTGGCCTGATAGAATGTGATGGTCACCGCAGATTCCAACACTGCCAAAGCTTCTTTCCCTTGGAAACTGGTGCACAAATGTGAACATGTGCCCATACACTGTAGCCTCAGACCGGACTCTTGTGCACCCGTCAGTTGTGTCCATGCTAGCCAGGCTGGGGTGGGGCCTGAGAGGCAATTCTGAGCATGTTAGGGATGTTAATATGTGGTTAATTTAAACGTGGAAAATTTCACTGAAAATTTCAGCAGTGACGAGTGGGGGATGGGGGAGAGGCAATGAACGCCCTGTGAGTCAGTGCGCACACAGAGCTGGTGCCAAACACACACTGGTTCCCACCCTTCTCCCATCCTGTGCTGCTGCCTCTGATACAGAAGCAGCAGCGTGGGCGGACAGATGGAAGGACAGGCAGCTCCCCAGGAGCAGAGGTGCATGGGAAGCTAGCTTTTAAGCTGGCTCCCTGCACATACCGGGAGCCCATGTGTAACCGTGAAGGGTTTACCAATAAGCCCAGGCTCATTGGATAACCATGCACACTGGTGGTGTCCAACATGCTAGCCACATATAGCTGTTTGGTTGGTTGAGTGTGGCTAGTTGGCATGCTACGGTGGCTACTGCTTCAGAACTGGTTGGACACATCCCTAGTAGACATAGTCAGAGTGGGCTTCCAGACACAGCCACTGTTGTTAGTAGTTTCCTTGTGAAAGCATCTGTGGATGGTCACTCGTTTATCAAGTCTTCTGCCTCCTCCTAAGAAGGCTCATTCCAGTCTTGGTGTTACTTTGTGGGTGCAGGGGCTGAGGTATGTAGTTCCCTACTCTCGGGCTGGTATATACAACCCATGTTTGAACGAATAGCTGCTGCCCTGTTCCGTTCTAGCTCGCTGGCTCCACTCCGGTTGACACCCTTCTGTTCCTCACAGGAAGAAGCCCACCCACACAACTGTGAACTGCTGGTTCTGCAACCAGGACACTGTGGTGCCATATGGGAATCGCAACTGCTGGGACTGTCCTAACTGTGAACAGTACAATGGTTTCCAGGAGGTACGGTAGGAGCTGCTTGGTGTGAAGGCTGCCGGGAGGGGTCCTCCCTTAGCACAGAGCATGATCAGTGCAGATGAATTCTTCCGAGAATTTAGCTGCCATGCACAAGTGTGTCCGGAGCGGGCGTAAACCGAGATTTTTTTTTTTCCAACGATTTAGAATTTGGTACTTCATGGACAGTCGTGACTGCTGGGGAGGGACAAAAGGGAGACACTGGCCATGTGATCCCCCCCCTCCCGCACATGACTCCTCCCCATGCTGTCTCTAGCTGCGGGAGGGCCTTTCCTCTTCCTGTTCCTGCCCTGCGCCCTCTCCATCCAGGCCTTGACTCTTCCTGCCCCAGCTCCACTTCACCCCTTCCCCATGAGCGATGCAGCCCAGGGGACTAGTGGCAAGGCCTGGTGCCGGCAGCAGAGATCACCCCCACCACTCCTGCACTCACTGGCAGCAGAAAGCGGAGCAACCTGGTCCCAGTTCACTCTGCTGGCTCCCATCCATGATGCTCTGAATCATAAGAATGGCCACACTGAGTCAGACAAAAGGTCCATTTTGACAGTGGCCAATGCCAGATGCCCCAGAGGGAGGGAACACAACAGGTAATCCTCACATGATCACCTATTTCCAGACAAAGAGAGGCTAGGGACACCATTCCTACCCATCCTGGCTAATAGCTGTTGATGGACCTAACCTCCATGAATCTATCTATCTAGCTCTTTTTTGAACCCTGTTAAAGGCCTAGTCTTCACCACATCCTCTGGCAAGGAGTTCCACAGGATGACTGTGTGCTGAGTGAAGAAAAACTTCCTTTTGTTTGTTTTACATCTGCTGCCTATTAATTTCATTTGGTGACCCGTAGTTCTTATATTGTGAGAATCTGTAAATTACCTTTTCCTTACTCACTTTTTTCACACCAGTCATGATTTTATAGACCTCTATCATGTCCCCCCTTAGTCACCTCTTTTCTAAGATGAAAAGTACAGGTCTTTCTAATCTCTCTTCATATGGGACCTGTTCCCAACCCCTTATCATTTTTGTTGTCCTTTTCTGATCCTGCAGCCACTGGTGAGCACATGAGGGGGGAGGGAAATCCCCGTTGCTCAGGGTCACAAAGTGAGTCTGACACAGCCAGGAATAGAACCCCAGTTTCCTGATTTCCAGTCCTTTGCTTCTATCCACACATCTACGTTTACCCTGGCTTTGTTCTCAGTGAGGATTTCCTTAAAGTCTTACCTTGATACACTTTTCCTCCCTCTCTGCCCTTCCGTGTATTCCTGTCCCTTCAAGCCATTCCCCTATGATTAGCTCGTTAAGCCTATGGTAAAATATGCCATTTCTGCTCCATCTCCTCCTCCTTCCAAATCTTTCCCTCTGCTGAGCTCAGCCCTTGATTGGCCCTAAACTCTTGGTAGAAGCCCTGTCTAGATGTTATCATGTGACCTGCACATCTGTCTGCTGAGCAATAGCCTGGTGCTGGTTTCTGTGCCTTGGGAGACTTGTCTTCTGGATTGAACCCATTTGTCAGCTGGGGATCAGTGGGCTGCTGTAGAGTGGAGGGTAGAGAGGTCCTGGGCTCATCTGTTTGTCACAGCCTGTAAAACAGCTGGGAATGACATACATGGGGGGAAGGGCAATGGCTCTTACTCGGGTTTTATTTCTTCCTTGTCATCTGGGGCAGGGCCCTGCTGGTGGAACTCCCGCAGAGGGTGGGGGGCCCCCACGCCTGGGCTCACGAACTCACCCACTTCTTTGCTGCCTGGCAGAACGGAGACTACAACAAGCCCATTCCCGCCCAGTACATGGAGCACCTCAACCACGTGGTGTCTGGCGCCACTACTTTCTGCGACCCCACCAAGCCGCAGCAGTGGGTGAGCAGCCAGATCTTGCTGTGCAAAAAATGCAACAACTACCAGACCATGAAGATCAAGCAGCTGGCGTCCTTTGCACCCAGGGAGGAGGTAGGTCCTGGCTTTGGCAGACTCTCCCTTCCTATTGGGGGGGGGGGGGGAAGGAGGGGGAAGGGGAGATGACATCCCAAATGTCACCAGGTCTGGCCATGAATGCATCTTGTGTTCCCACTCTATTTCAATGGAGAGACAACAGCCATGAATTCTGATCTACTGTATTAATAAGCTCTGGGCAATTGTAACAGGATTGAACTACCAAGAGGCTCTGTCTGCCCACCCATCCCCCTCCTGTGTCTCCAGAGAGTCATGTGTGCCTGGGGCTGGAGAGCTTTGTCTCTATTTAGTTGGTCCCTGAGTGTGGCATTCAGCAATTCCACTGGAGCAGCATCCAAGTTCCCCTCCTGCCCCCTCTGCCCTAGATTCCTCCATGGGATGCATCCTCCAGGCAGCAGGGCTGTTTCTTGTCTCCTCCTTGCCCTGCCGGTCGCTCCTCCCCAGCTCGTTCTAAATGTGAGCCCACGTGTCTGCGTGTGAAGTGCCTGCCCCAGTTATCCAGGGGGCCATGGCAACGGCATGATGATGTAGGCCAGGAACCACTCTGTCCCACGTCCATAAAGAGCTTTTTGTGTAGAGCCTTGAGAAAACAGAGCACTGCGAGCGGGTGGCAGAATCTGCATGAACTCTAAGCAAGGGGCAGTGCAGCCCTTGGCGTGTATCTTCGGGAAATTCTTCCCCGACAGTGTAGCTTGCTGTTAAACTAGGTCCCGCTTTATATCTTCCCCTCCCGTAGAGCCCAGACTGTTGGGGCCCCTCTAGGCACTCCATGCAAATACTCCCTGTTGTCCTCTTCTGTTTGAAAATGAGGCAAGCCCAGATATTTCTATCGCTTCCTTATGGAAACAGCCACGGCCCAGGGCAGTGGTTTCCGGATCTGTTCCCCACTGACCCAGTTAGCCGTATGGGAAGGGCAGTTTGTTTAAAACTTGTTAGAGCCCAGACTGTTGGGGCCCCTCTAGGCACTCCATGCAAATACTCCCTGTTGTCCTCTTCTGTTTGAAAATGAGGCAAGCCCAGATATTTCTATCGCTTCCTTATGGAAACAGCCACGGCCCAGGGCAGTGGTTTCCGGATCTGTTCCCCACTGACCCAGTTAGCCGTATGGGAAGGGCAGTTTGTTTAAAACTTGTAAAAGGGGGGGGGGGGGGGGCGGCTGGTAAAGGGGGGGGGGGGGGTGCGTGCGTGTGCGTGTGTGTGTGTGTGCGTGCGCTCTTTATCTATCTCCCAATCTTCAGCCAGAGTGTCTGAATTTTAACCCATTTCCTTTTGTTTGTACCTCTTGGTGTTTTTAAGGCCGGTCCCTCTCCCTTCATTTTTCATTTTTCTTTTCATCTTTCCTTGAATGAATCCTTCCAGCCTCCCCGTTATTTCTGCAGCTCTTTGAACTCCATCCCTTTAATACTTTGCGTGAGTGACCTTCTGTGTCAGGCTTTACTGATGACACCCTGCCCCAGGAAATGAGGGGAGGAATTCTTTGCTCAGCTGGAGGGTGGAAGGCTGCCTCCCAACTGCGCAGCGACAAGGTGGGAAGGGTTCAGGAGGGGGCGGGAGGAACTCTCTCTCCATTCTGATTGGAATTGCCAAGGGGGATTGTAGAATTGAGTTAGAATATGGCCAGGAAAGTGGAGCTCCCACCGCCTGCCCCTACCGTTTCAAGGAGTGCGGTGGGATCACTAGCATTGCTAGGACTAACCTGCCAATCACCACTAGGCCATTCTCGGTGGGAAGAGCGCCACCTACTGAACAGTCAACATAACTGCTTGCAAATAAACTGGATTTTCTTACCACGTTTCCTACAGGCCGGACTTCACCCTGCTTAAATTTTTGGGATGTGATGGGCGTAATAACATGGGGTAGTTCTCAAGCCCACTGTTCTTTTCTACAGAGCCTCAGCTCAGCTGCTTTGATCCTGCTTCTGTGGCTTAAAAGGACAAAGCAGCCCAGCTGACCTGTCTCCTGGGCATAGTAAGTTGGTCTTTGTGTGTCTATAGGACAGTGAGGCTGCTGCCTTTGCCTACTGGGAACTCTGCTGCTGGTTGACATGAGTGCTGCCTTCCCTGGTGTGGGCTTCTCTTCCACAGCTGCTTATTTTAACTCTGTTCCTGCCAAGCATCTAGGGCAGTCGTGTGTTCTCATCCTCTTCCATGCCAGGCGTCCCTTCTTGCAGCAGAGATGTTCTGGGCCCCCTGGGTTGAAATCCCAGGATCTAGTGGGTTAGTTTTACTCTGTAGGCTTTTTCTCATCATGTAATTGGAACCTGCTTAATCCAGATATCTCCAGGGGAGAAGATTTAAACCCATGATTAACGAGGGCGCCTTCTGGCAGTTTCATGGTGTTTGGGTTTCTCTTGTGTCTGTCTCATGCTGACTCTGGTTCCTGAAACAGTTTTCACTTCCCCTGGGGTTGATTTCACCTCTGCCTGTCCGTTTGCTGCTTCTGCACCCGGAAAGACATGTGGGATCAGCATATAAACTGCTGGCTCAGCCTTTATTCCTGTGCAAGCCGTACCTCTGGCCCACGTAGAGGGGCTGCACAGTCACGTGATGAGCCTGCTGCCCTTGAGAAAATCCTTGGTGTGTCTCTTGGTGGAAGCCCAAGGTATCTTGGTCCGGAAGATTGTGATTAATGTTTCCTCTAATCTGCCATCGCTATGTGGAATAAATTTTTCTATGTGCACTATGGCATGTGCAAATGTGCACCACCAGTAGAAACAAAAACCTAGCTGTAGATACTATGCTAACCAGCTGGGTGGCATTTGAATCTCCTGAGTGGCCGCACAAGAACACAGCTTACCAGGAACATTGATTGTGACCCCTCGTGATAATGCTTGGCAATACCATAGCATTTTTCATCCAGCTGTTACAAATGGCTGAATGAAGGCCATGGAGATATTATTGACGCCCATCTTTTAGAACAGCCATGGCTAACCCGAGGCTCGTAGCTCTTTTCCCCCTCACCCCCGCCCCAACCTTGCTGCACTGCCCGTGGTGGCAGCGTGGCTTCCTGAGGAGTGTTAACTCACCCGTGGGCAGTAGACAGGGCCAGAGGACGCATGGGTGAGCCGAGTGACCCGGAGGGTGTCAGGTGGCACGTTTTGATGGGGCCTGGAACATGCCTGGTGCTGAGGCACCACAGACCCATCTAACATGCTGCCTATGCCCTTAGATCAGCGGTTTCCAACCACTTCCAGATGGGGACCCATTTTGACAGTTCAGGAAGACTTGGTGACCCAGGGCAATTCAAAAAATTTGTGAATGGCTCCTTATGAGCCACCTGGGGAGACACCTGGCAACCCTTTTGAAATGTAATGGTGACCCATATTGGGGTCCCGACCCATAGGTTGGGAAACCCTGCCCTAGATCAAGCTGCATGTGTCTGGGGCAATACACACCTGCGTGGTGAGGTGCAAACCAGACACAAAGGAATGGTGGCGTTGTCCCCCCCACCTCCTCGTTGCTGTCAGCCACCATATGAGCAGTAGCCAGCCCCCAGACCCACTCTCCTGTACAGCGTGCAGCTTCCTTCCCATGTCTTGCAACCCGTGGCCGTCTCCCCCGGACAAATCCCAGGACCCTTGGGAAGTTTGGTCAGACTTGCCATGTGACACTTTTTGACCCTGTTCCTTTCTTCCCCCAGTCCTCCCAGAAGTAAGACTTGCACAGAGGGGACCCTCATGCCTGGACTTTTCCTCTGTGCAAATTCCCACCCATCCCCGTGATCTCTCTGCAAGTCCATGCTGGGAGTGGGGACAGATCAGGGGGCTGAGGCGAGGAAGGGACAGACAGGGGAGGGCATGTTGTCCTGGTGGGATTCAGTCAGAATGACCTGGGTCTGTTACATTTTCCAAGGCGCTGTCAGCCCAGGTGTCCTGTGGGCAGTGGTCCCTGTAACCTGTGCGCTCGTGCAACCATTCGGGAGAAATTCAAATGCCACTCATGGCTAGGTTTTGTGTTTCCATTGGTTGTGCACACTGACATACGCGTGAGTGCACAAAAAATTATGCCACACATGGATGGAAAGGATTAGCAGGAGCATTGGCAGCAGTGCCTGTGCTGGGTGCTCTTGAAAGCTCGGGGGCTATCCCTTGAGCTGCTGAGACCTGAGCCAGCAGAACATCTGTGTGACGCTCCCCTTGAACCATGGAGCTGTGGTTCTGACGTTCTTGGATTTGTGGCATTGGGGGGGGGGCCCTGATCTTGCAGTGTCCAGGGCTGTCTGCGTTTAGTCATAATTGTGAAACAGGAGTTCTGCTGCAGGGAACACAAGGAAGGCAGCTGGTGGCCAGCCCTGGGGAGTGGAGGCCTCTGTCTGTCCTTGGAGCGGAGCAGTGTAAGATTTCCCCCACACTGCCCCCACCCTGAGGCTGCAAGGTTGAGATAGGAGTCCAGCCCAGGTGACCCATAAAAGCGGGTCCTGGCTCCTCTTTGGTGAAACAAGAGCCAAGTTTGGAAGAAGACGGACTTTCCAACACCGTGGCTGGGGCAGGGAGCCCCCAACGGCCTGGGCACAGAGGCAGTGTTGAAAGACTCCTGGGACTAGCCACGATGAGCGACATCTCCGCTCTAGGGACCATGATAAACGTGCCCTTCGCACGGGCTGTTTTGACAGCCATTGAGGATGGTTTATTGCAGTGATCTGAGGTGGGGTTTGCTCCAATGGCTGGTGCTGAGAGGGGGTGCGGGGGGAGCAGCTTGTCTGGCTGGAAATCTCTGCAGGCGGGTACCAGCTGGGGCCCCTGCTTACACATACGGGACACCTCTCCCCCACGTGTGGCCCTTAGCTGATAAAAGCAGCCAGGCCGTGGCTGACGTATGCCATATCCCATAACCACCGAAGGCCGCTGTGGCTTGGTTCTCCATGACCAGCACTGTGTGTCTCTCCCAGGCTGTGTGGGGCTGAGGCAGCATTTCACACGTGCTAGTTGGTGGCTTGATCCCAGCTGACCTAGGAACTCAGGCCTGGTGCCCAGGTGCTCGGTAGCATGGAGATCGGTATCTGCGCTCTCATGGGCCCCCAGCATTGCCCTTTCTGCCCAAGACCGAGCCCCTGGCCCCAGTAGGAGCCATGCTCCCCCACTTGTAGGGGCAAGCCCCTCCTCCGCATGGGAGGTCTACAGCCTTCCTTGGGGGCACCCCCTATGAACAGGGCAGCCTGCGGCCCCGGCCCTCCCCCACTCCCAGAGCACAGGGAGGGTGCCACAGCCCCAAAGCATGTGTGGTGAGCAACCCCAGCCATCCCAACCTCAAGAACCTGAGGAGGGCAGGTGCCCGCTCCCAGCCCTGGAAGGGGGGTGGCGGGTGGTCCCCTCAGCCCCAGAGCACAGGCAGCACACGGCCCCAGCCTCCCTGGCCCCGGGAGATCTGGCAGTACCCAGCCCCAGCCTTGGCAGGGCTGAAGCCCAGGCAGCCCCAAGAGACGGGTGGAGCTGCGCTTAATGGGGCTGGCTGGGGGTGGAATGTGGGCAGGACCAGCCAGGCAGTTTGGGAAGGTATCACCTTCCCATGCCTCTCATGCCCGCCACCGATGTGTGCCGGGATAGACGCGCGCTGGTGCCCCCTGGCTGCAGGGTTGCTGTGCCTCTGATCTGCTCCCCTGTTCGCTCCCCAGGGTAAATACGACGAGGAGATCGAGGTCTATAAGCACCACTTGGAGCAGACCTACAAGCTCTGCCGCCCGTGCCAGGCCGCTGTGGAATATTACATCAAGCACCAGAACCGGCAGCTCCGGGCGCTGCTGCTGAGCCACCACTTCAAACGCCGGGAGCCCGACAAGCCCTGCATGCAGGTGCGTGGGTGTGGGCGAGCAGTGCAGTGAACCAGGCGCCTTGGCATCCGCCCCAGGAGCAGGGCAGGAAATGATTCTGTCACCCCGATGGCCCTGAGGGGCTCAGCTCGTGAGCCTTCGTAATTGAGTGGGATGCTGGGATCACGTGACTTAAGTTGGGCACAGATCTAACATCTGCTCTTGGGCCAGATGTGATGTTGCAGCTGTAAATCCATCCAGAAGGGTGACCAGCTGTGATTTGGCTTGGTGGTCTGTGTGATCACAGTCCCCAGCCGGCTCCTCTGTCCTGCTCCCACCCAGATCCGTCTCCGTATTAATTCTCCCTCTTGGGCCCTGATTAGCTGGTCTCTAATTTTTGCTGGGATGAACTGGGGGAAGGGGGAGCCTTTGAACTGGGAGGGGAGAGGAAGAGGCAGCACGTGAGGGCTTGGAAAACAGCAAGAGGGATGGAGATGAGGAAGGTTGACATGAGAGGGGGGGAAAAGCAGAGGAAAGTGGAGGAGGGGTGGGAAGAACAAGCATGTCTGGCTGCATGAGGACTCTGAAGTCTAGGGAATCAAGTGTGGGACTGAGGAAGCGGGGGGAGTGATAACTTGTGGAATCTGCCCTTCACTCCCCGGCTATTCCAATCCTGGGCTCCCCGTCACACTGATGCCCCTCACTCTTGGCCTGCAGCCCCCTTATGATTCCAGCCCTGGGCAGTGACTGGCGGTTGCACCAAGTGGCTCAGTAGATCAGTGTGATGTCGAAATGTTGGGATGGCACCCGTCTGAGCATCCCCCCCACACTCACTTGGCTTGACCTGAGACATTTCTCTTTCCTTGTTGCAGAGCTTTTGCTCCTCGTCGTCCTCCATGACCACCCCGACTCAGGTGATAATATTGCGGTTCCTGACCTTCCTCAGCTGTGCGTTCCTTGTCCTGACGGCTTCCTACGGGTCCGGTGACCCCTTCTCCCTCAAAGTCATGGCCCCGGCGTCTGTGGAACATGGCCCAATGGCCATGGGGAATGGGACTAGCGCAAGCCCAGCAGCGGCTTCGGAGAATCGCACTCTCTTAGGCGTGACCGGCTGGTGGGAACTGCTCCACCTGTTGCCGGAGCAAACGGTGAAGACCTTGAGCTTTGCTTGGACCTACGGGAGGAACCATCAGATTGCAGTCGTCGTCCTCGGGCTGTTCACCTGCTTGTTAGCCATGCTCATGGCCGGACGGATCAGGTGGGTCTCCAAAATCTGCTTTCTGCGGGCTTCTTGATCCAGGGACTGATTCTCTGCAGTCCGTCAGCAGGGGGCCCTGTGTTTGTTCTGCCCACCTGAGCCTGGGCTCAGCACAGGGCTGGGAATGCGGCAATTAGCACCACTGACCTCCCGTTCCCTGGTGGAGCTAGTGAGGCATTCCCCAAGCCAGCCAAATCGGGAGACCTGGGTTCTACTCCTGCATCTGTCAAGGGCTGTAAGGGTGTATCTAAACTACATGGTTCCGTCGACAGAGCCATGTCGATTAGGCTGATCGGCAGAGGGAAATGAAGCCGTGATTTAAATAATCGCGGCTTCATTTCCCCCTGCCGATCAGCCTAATCGACATGGCTCCGTCGACGGAGCCATGTCGATTAGGCTGATCGGCAGAGGGAAATGAAGCCGTGATTTAAATAATCGCGGCTTCATTTCCCCCTGCCGATCAGCCTAATCGACATGGCTCCGTCGACGGAGCCATGTCGATTAGGCTGATCGGCAGAGGGAAATGAAGCCGTGATTTAAATAATCGCGGCTTCATTTCCCCCTGCCGATCAGCCTAATCGACATGGCTCCGTCGACGGAGCCGTGTAGTTTAGACACTCCCCTCATGAGCCTCTCTGTGCCTATAGCAGTGCCCTCCCACCTGTCGGATTAAAAGTCCCCGTGTATGTAGTTGAAGTGGTGGTGCCCTCCCATTCAGTGCTTGAGTTGTGGGCAAGGATTCTTGGGATGCTGTTGAGGCTGCAAAGGACCGTCTGAAACATGCAGGCTGTTAGGCGTGGGGGAGAGTTCTTTGATTCTCCTACAAGAACCGTCTCCTGAATTTTCAAGGATGGACACGTCTCTTCATGGCACCGTAGTCTAGCGAATGGAGCAGTAACTTAGCAAGGCAGGTGGGGAGGTGGCTTGTAGCCTGTTTCGTCCCGGGCTGCCACCGACTCCACCCTTCCATGCCAACCGGGGCCATGCCTGACTGGGCTCTGGGTGGCTGGTGTGTAGGCGTGTGTGTGCCCTGACGCACAGACTCGTTTTTTGGCATTCCAGGCTGCGGAGAATCGATGCCTTCGCCTCAGTCCTGTGGCTTCTGGTGATGGGTCTCCACTTGGCTGAGGAGTACCTGAAGGCGGACACACCCAGCTGGCTGGACACAGCCAAATTTGGCACCACATCCCTGTGCTGCCTGGTGGGCTTCACCGCAGCAGTGGCCACGCGGAAGTCAACGGGCCAACGGAGATACCGCCCCCGAAGGTCAGAGCCAGAGCAGTGACCCTGGGGGAAGGAGGAAAAAAAGCCCGTGTGAACTCTGTGCGACTGGTGCTTCTCTCTCCTCTTTATTTTTCCCCTCTTTTTCTTTCTATTTTTCCCCTAGAAGCGCGGTGAAGACTTTTCCTCTTTTTTTTTTTTTTCTCCACTCTCCCTTCCCGCCAAGCCAGCTGCTCATAGTGTTTCCGCCGTCTCCGTTAGCCAAGGAAGCCGCTTCTGCCGCCTCCATTCTCCCTCCTCCTGAAACCTCCGCCCGAGGTGCAAACGCCAACCCCTGCGCAACCCCAGAGCCAAATCTTCCACCAGCTGCTCCACAGACTGCTCCATAAATGCAGCCTCATCCCCATTCTCCTCCTCCAGCCAAAGAGATTCTGGCTACTCCTGTCCTTCCGGCTCCGCTCACTGCGTGTCCATCCCTAGCTAGTCATGGAGGGATACTCTGCCTTGAGCCTCCCGAGGGCTATGCCACGTTGTTTCCTAATGGTGCTGATCATTTTTTAGTTTACACTAACGGGAATGCATTCCTGGATTCATTTTAACCTCTCCATCGTTCCTCTGCATGGCTGTTCCTTAACGGGAGGGGATGAGACATGCTTGTTAAATAACAGGCTTCCACTCAACCTCCATTGCGTAGCCTCACTTAACCGCATGTCCTCTTGCCGTGCTGTGGCTTTTACTCCTTGGGTGCTTTTTACTAAAACTACTAAGAACTTGAAAAACTGAGGTGCTTTTAAAGGTTATTTAGCTCAGGTATTTTTGACTGGTGCAAAAATCTTCAGCTGTTTTAAAATGTATTTCCAAATTTCGGGAGGGGTTGCTTTTTTTTGTTTTTTTTTGTTTTTAAAGACAATCTAAATGGAAGCACAATTTTTACTTGTGGGTGTGTGGGTTTTTTTTGTTTGTTTTTTAAAAACGATTCTCCTCTGCTCATGCAGCCTTAGCAGCAGAGGAGGACATGCTAGGTCGCAAACTAAGAGGTGCTGTGGTGAATGGTCAGTCTTCCAGCATATATAGCCATAAGCCTTACTCCATTTGGTGCTGGTTTTTTTTTTTATATATATATTCAAGATATCTGAGTTCAGGACATCGGACAGGAGGAAGTGCCAGGGGAGATGGAATCCAGGGTGGCTAATTGGATGGGGCTTCATGAAAACAGAACTGGATTAGATGGTGGTCTCTCTCAGAAAGTGCTTACGTACTTTGGAGTCAAGGCAGTTGGGAAGTGGAGGATGGGTTACCCAGGCCGAAAAGCCAGCCCACCAAATGTGATCTGCTGGGTTCTTCCCAGCAGGGTCACAATGGAATCTTCAGAACCAAATGCTGAGTGCTGTTGGGGAGGATGGGTGTTTCTAGGAGGAACAGTTTGGGCATCCATCATTGGGTTAGATGGTCTGGTCTGGATCCACCTGCATTTGGTTAGGTAGGACATTCTAGCCTGCCCACAGGCCTTGCAGCAAAAGGTGGGCCCTAAAAGAGAAACTGCAACACTACCTAAGATTCTACAGCTTGAACCTCTCTAGTCCGGCTCTCTTGGGACCTGACCAGTGCCAAATAGGGATGTGAATGGTTATCTGATGGGGGCTGGAACAGCTTTCTGACCACGGTAGGCAGGAGGCTGCTGTAGCCCAGCCAGAGCAACCCCTGTGCAGGGGGGGGAGACTGCTTCAGTCAGGCTGGAGTTCCACCCTCTCCCCCATTTAATTGGTTAACTGGTTAAACGTGACGGTTAACTGGTTAGCTAATTAAATAGGATTTTTACATCCCTGGTGCCAAACCAGAGAATTTGCTGAACCACAGGAGGTCAATATTGTCTGGCAGCATTATCAACGCTTCCACTGCATACTGGGATCTTCTAAGACATTAGAGCTAAATAACTGCACGGAACACAGAAAACCAGGACGAATTGCTATAAACAAACTTTATGGGAATGTGGGGAACTTAGCCAAATGTCCACTTATCTTGGTTGTGGCCGACTAAAATCATGCTGGACCATGGATGTTGCTGGACCAGAATGGGTTCAACCTGTACATACTTATTCTTCTGCACTATAGTTATGAAATGGCACAGAGAGCTGCCCTCCTGACAGTAGGTTAAATGGTCTTCTGCTCTGAGCACGTGTGTGTGTTGAGCTATCTCCCATTGTACTCTAAACAGAATGGAGCTTCTGCGAGACTTGCTGGGGACATCAATGGTGTTATTTAAAGTGAGAGAAATGGTGAAACAGAGAGGACTATCTGGAAAGCTAGAGGGTTTTTTTTTAAAACAATTGTTCGTGTCTATTTAACTCTTCACTGCTGTTCTGCTTGTAACCCCTGTTCCCCAAGACAGCAGAGTTGTAATGCTGAGCTAAGCTGGTGAGATCTAAAGGGGGATCCAAACAAAGTCAGCTGGCTGCAGTCTGGGATGTACAGCCATCTTCTTTTCTATAGAAACAGCAGCGCGGCTGTCACATGGGCGACTGTTTTGGGAAGCAGGCGCACAGTCTAAGGGTGTAGCTTTCCCCTAAGGTGTCTTGTGTTGGGAATCTTTGCTGGTGCCTTCAGGTAACTTTACTATCCAAACCCCTTCTTTGTCCTCAAACACCCACCACCTCTCCCACAGTGTTGGGGTGTGTGAAAGGTGCTGCCCTGGAGACTGAAGACCTGCTTATCCAGAGGGATCCCTGCATTTGCAAAGGCAAGCTTCCCCCTGCCGCATTGCCCACCTCACTCCAGCCCTGAGCTGTAGGGCTGCCTGCCCAGGTGAGGGCCTCGCTTTCCATTGCTGGTTTGACTCTGGGTCTCTCTGAAATAGCCACAGAAGGCTTCAGTTGCCATGAATGTGATGGGGACTGGAGAGCATCACTCGGGCTCCTAGTAGCGGAAGAAAGGAGCGAAGAAGCGCATGTGCACCCGCTCAGGTGGGAGACTCTGAGGCGTGGGGATTTCTCTTTGCTCCTTCTTCCAAAGTGGAACTGTAGCGGGGCGGAATTTGATCTAAGAAACTCAATAGGCCACGTGTCTGCTCACGTGTCCTTTAGGAATGCGGAGCGGTTCCTAACCAAGTCTTGGATACAGACCCCTAAGGAAGTGGACATTGTCAATTAGTGCAATGTCTGATCGCTTCCAGGCTGACTGGTTGCCTACTAAATCCTTGCAAATGCATCCGTAGCTGTTGCCATCAGTGCTGTGTTGGGCAAAACCACATAATAAATTACCTAACATCTGACTCCAGTTCATGCAGTCCACAGATAAACAGCGTACAAATCCCAAGTCCTGCTGAGCTGGATAATCCAATATTTTGCTTTTCCTTTGCCTCACTTGAAATTTTTTCAGTCTCCGGCACAGTCTATATGGTGAGACCCCCAATTTTTCACGCTGGGTGCATTGCCTTTGTTGTTGGACAGACCTATAGCCACTGGCCTTGCCTTGCTGAATGGTTTCTTCTGGCCTCGTGAATTCACTTCTCTCATCTTGTGAGACCACACGGAGTCAGAGGACCTTCTCTACTGGAACATTTCTTCTTGAGCAAGCAGCCAAGGGAACGCTCTCCCTTCTTCATTGCTAGTGTCTGTCATCTCATGGCCACGTCTGGATCTCTGATGTCTTGATAGACCTGCTGGGTGTCTGTCCATGAGCTCTTTGCATGACCAGCATCACATGGGCCTGTTTGGCTCTAGCTGCTTTGCAAATGCTCTTTTACTCGTACAGCCGCTAGAGCTCCTTGCATTCAACTCAGACTTCTGTTCTTGAGCCCACAGCAGTTCAGGCTAACGAAAGCTGCCCTGGCACTCTTGTTGCTAGCTGTCTGCAGCTTCTGGGTCATATGCATCCGAAAACCATGGTCAGGGTTAGCGAATAATGGGTGCTGCATACCCAAACACGCATATGGTACTGGCATAAGATACTTTTGTTCATGGTGGAGGAGGAACAAGGGTTTGTGTGGCTAAAAGGGCAGCGCTATGCCTGCCCTTTATCCCAAAGATCAGTAGCTCAAGGGAGACTGGCATATAGTGGGTATGAGCAGAGGGGAACAGGACACAGGGCAGGAAAGGGTGCTGAATAAGATGGTCACTGAGAAGTCTCAGGGTATGACTACATTAGCCCCCTAGTTTGAACTAGGGTGGCTAATGTAGGCATTCGAACTTGCAAATGAAGCCCAGGATTTAAATATCCTGGGCTTCATTTGCATGTTCCCGGGAGAGCGCCATTTTTAAATCCCCTTAGTTCGAACTGACTGTCCACGGCTACACACAGCAGTCAGAAGTTAATCCGAACTAAATCCTTAGTTCGGATTAACTGACTGCCGCGGGCAGTCAGTTCAAACTAAGGGGATTTAAAAATGGCGCTCTCCCGGGAACATGCAAATGAAGCCCAGGATATTTAAATCCTGGGCTTCATTTGCAAGTTCGAATGCCTACATTAGCCACCCTAGTTCGAACTAGGGGGCTAATGTAGACATACCCTCAGAGGGGTAGCTATGTTAGTCTGTATCTGCAAAAAAACGAGGAGTCCTGTGGTACCTTGAAAACTAAAAATTTTATTAGGGCATCAGCTTTCATGGGAAAAACCCTCTTCATCAGATGAATTGGAGTGGAGGTTAGAGGCAGAAAGTGGGTACTTATGTACCGAGCTCAACAATTAGGGCAATCTACTCACCCATGGCGAGTAGATTTGAGCCTGACACGGCACCGCAGCGTGCTCAGCGCATGCGCAGCACACCAAACCGCGTGATTGTCAAGCCCTGCTTATGTAAATGAGGCTAATCAAGAGTGGAAGTGGCTCCTACACAGCAGTTAATGCAGATACAAATTCAATCCCATCAATTTAGGGTTGAAGAAGGATCTTAACTGGCTAATGCACTACAAAGGCAATTTCCCCTCTCTTGATATCCACATTCCCACATCAACTACTGTGAATGAGCCACTGCTGCTCCAGCTCATCTGATGAAGTGGATTTTGCCCATGAAAGCTTATGCCTGAATAAATCTGTTAATTTCTAAGGTAC